AGGGGCAACCAGCATGGTTTCATCAAAGGCAGGTCCTGCCTGACCAACCTGATGGCCTTTTATGACCAGGTAACTAAATCCTTGGATGATGGTGTCACCATGGATGTAGTCTTTTGAGACTTTAAGAAGGTCTTTGACACTGTCTCTCACTCCATTCTCATTAATAAATTAAGCAACTGTGGCATTGATGCCTACACAGTTGGATGAGTAAAAAGCTGGCTGATGGGGCGCACCCAGACAGTAGGGGTGGACAGGTCGTACTCAACCTGGTGAGATGTGGAGCAGTGGGGTCCCCTGGGGCTCAGTCCTTGGGCCCGCACTGTTTAACATCTTTATCAGTGACTTGAACAAGGGGGTTGAGAGCACATTGTCCAAGTTTGCTGATGACACTAAGATGTGGGGCGAGGTGGGCACACTTGAAGGGAGAGAGAGGCTGCAACTAGATTTAGACAGACTACAAAAGTGGGCAGATGAGAATAGGATAGGGTTCAACATAGATAAATGCAGGGTGCTGCACCTTGGGAGAAGGAATCCACAGCATACATACAGTCTGGGGAGTTCCCCTCTTGAAAGCACAGAAGCGGAAAGGGATCTTGGAGTCATTATTGACTCTAAGATGAACATGAGCTGCCAGTGCCAGACCGCAGCCAGCAAAGCCAGCCATACCTTGTCATGCATCCAAAGATGCATCTCAAGCTGGTCCAGAGAGGTGATACTCCCCATCTATGCAACATTGGTCAGGCCGCAGCTGGAGTACTGCGTCCAGTACTGGGGGCCTCACTTTAAAAAGGATGTGGCCAGCTTGGAGAGAGTTCAGAGGAGGGCCACCTGTTTGGTGAGAGGGCAACAGGACAGGCCCTATGAGGAGAGACTGAGGGACCTGAACCTGTTCAGCCTCAGCAAAAAGAGGCTGAGTGGGGACCTGGTGGCTGCCTACAAACTCATCAGGGGAGATCATCAGCAAATAGGTTGAGCCCTATTCTCCCCAGCACCACCTGGGATGA